CGCCGAGACGCCGAACCGGAACGGCGTGACGGCGGCGGGGGGACGATCCACCTGGGGGCCAGGAAGAGGGAAAGGCGCGCCGAACCCAGGGCCAGTACTGCAGGCCGCACCGCTGTCACACCCGGACTGCCTAGAGGCGCCGCTGTCCCCGCCCCTTCCGTGGCTGGGGTGGCAGGTGGCGCGCACCCCCTGGATCTTCTGCTGGCGTCCTTGATGCTGACAGCGGCGCTGAGCACGCGGCTACCTGTTACCCTACCCAAAGAGAAAGAGGAAGACCTAGAGGAGCAGTACACCCCGGTGGGGGGCCCGGCCAAGGCGGAGCGGCGCTTCGTGCAGGGCCATTTCACCACCGACGACTCCTACCGCTTCTCCGCCTCCAGGAGGAGCACCGAAGCCAATTTCGCCTCGCTTCTGGTGATCTCCTACAGCGACTCACTGCTGGACCCGGCCACCTTTGCAGAAGTCAGCAAACTGGACGGTGCGGTGCAGGATCTGCGTGTGGCGCTGGAAGACGGAAGCCAGATCCAGTACCAGCAGGTGTGCGCGAGGAACAGGGCGCTCTGCGTGCACCCCAACCCGCTCCTGCACGCCTGGCAGGTGGACAAAACGCTCAACCTGAGCAGCATCTCCTTCCCCATCTACCACCACGGCGGGCATCCCCTCTACCTGACCGGCTTCTTTGGAGGACGCATCTTGGGGGGCAGCCTAGGAATGGGCCACTTACTCCTGCGGGCCAAAGCCATGCGGCTGCTGTACTACCTGAAGACCGAGGACCCTGAGGACAGGGTGCAGAGCAAGCAGTGGCTCACCCATTTCCTCGACCAATTTACCAACATTACGAACACCTTGGCCTTGAAGAAAATTGAGGTACCTGGTGGTTTGGGTTTACAGGGAGGCCAGGAGAAGGTCAGAGGGATGAGGAAGACTTGCTCCCCAGACCCCTAACAAAAGCACCTCCTGACTACTTTATGGAGCCCTTGCCTCTAGGCTGGGTGTGCTCTACCATATTTGGTACTCAATCCAATTTTCTTAACACCGACGGATGCCAGAAATCGTGAATCCTGAGTAACATTCTAGTCGATAACACAAATCTTTCGTCCACCCAATGGGCCTGTTCGGTACAGACATTGATCTTCATGTTTAATTTTGGGGTTTGGTTTCTAATCAAATTACAGTATTCTGAAATTCTACTTTTAGTTAAATTCTTCACTGGTTTCGGGGAGGCCCTAAAACTTGCTTGGAGCTCATTGGGATTAAAAAACAAACTGTCTTGTAAGTAAAAGTTCTGTAGTGTTAAGAAGATAACTAGCTTAGCATTTTTCAAGTTAGATACATACAAAGCAGCCCCTGGCTTAGTGTGAGGTACATAGTAGCTGTTCAGTTATTGGTGGATCTGCAACTCTATTAATAAAGATGTATAAATAAGCCTAGTGAAAGAGACACCTGCTGGAAAGAGCTTTCAAAGGCCAGGCCCTCCTGAAATATTTATGCAATTGAAATAGTAAAAGACACCAACCTAATACAAATTTAGAAAAAGTTGCTAATTTCTGCAGCTATTAATGAGAACAAGATTAAACAGTTTCAGGCTAGGCGTGGCGGCTCGCACCTGTAATCCCAGCATTTTGGGACACCAAGGCAGGTAGACTGCTTGAGTCCAGGGGTTCAAGACTAGCTGGGGCAACCTGGCAAAAAAAATACAAAAGTTAGCCAGTCGTGGTGGCACACACCTGTAGTCCCAGCTATTTGTAAGGCCAAGGCAGGAGGATCACTTGAGCCCGGGAGGTTGAGGGCCCTGTCTCAAAAAAAAAAAAAAAGATTTCAAAGTTTTATATAAAATTCAGATTTTGTTTATTCAGGAGTTTTATTTAAACTTTGAATTTGCAAGAAACTTGAGGAATCTATAGATGTGTGGAAAGAAGCAAATTGACATTGTTTTCTCTATTCTGAAGTCATAATCCATGTATTTTTATCTTTTGCTGAATTTTAACATATTGTTTCATCACTAAAATAAAGTGTTTCAATAGTTTTTGTAACTCACACACAAATATTGTAATTAAAAGTTATTTATCTGAGTATATTTTTGTGGCAGGTGGTCCACTTTACATCACTTTCCAGACAACTGGAATTTCAGGCAACTTCTAAGACTACGATCCCTGTGTTTCACCTGGCACACGTTCCCATCATTCTGTTTGCAGTCGCGTCATGCTTTAGGTAAAAAGCTTTGATTAGTTTTTAAATCTCTTACTTTATGAAAAATACTTTATTATAGTAAAAATATTATAATATATATGACATATGTGCTATTCTAGCCATTCTTAAGTGTACAATTCAGCGGCATTAATTACACCCACACTGGCGTGCAACCATCACAACTATCTGTTTTCAAATATTTTACATCATCCCAAACAGGAACTCTGTTACCATTTTGCAATAAATTCCCCATCACCACCACCACCACCACCCCCACCCAGTGCCAGTTAACCTTTAATCTACTTTGTCTCTGTGAATTTTCCTAAAGGTTTCATATAGTGGAATCATATAATTGTCTTTTTGTGACTGGCTCATTTCATTAGGCATGGTATTTTCAAGGTTCATCCTTGTAGCATGTATCAGAACCCCATTGCGTTTTATGGCTGAATAATACTGATTCCTTCAGCTTCGTTCTTCTTCTTCAAGATTACATAGATCATCGAGACTCCTTGCAATTCCATATGAATTTAAGAATCAGCTTCTCCATTTCTTGGGGGGAAATGGCTGTTGGAATTTTGATGGGGATTGTGTTGAATCTGCAGACTGTTTTGAGTAGGACTGGCATTTTAGCAATATTGAGTCTGCCAACCCAGGAACTAAGGATCTTTCCATTTATCTAGGTCTTTTTAAGTTTCTTTTACCTTGTTTGGTAGCTTTCAGTGTGCAGATTCTTCACCTCCTTGGTTAAAATTATTCTTAGGTGTTTCATTCATTTAGAGCTATTTAAATGGAATTGCTTTCTTAATTTCCTTTTTGGATTGTTTATTGCATATGTACAGAAGCACAACTAATTTTTTGGTGTTGATCTTGTATCCTGAAGTTGTGCTGAATTTATTAACGCTAGTAGTTTTCTTCTGGATTCTTTGGTATTTTTCAGGTATACAATCATGTGATCTCTGAGGAGGGAGAGTTATATTTCTTCCCTTCCAATTTAGATGCTTTTTATTTATACATTTTTTTTATCTAATTGCTCTGGCTACAACTTCCAGTACAACATCGCGTATCAATGGGGAAGTGGGGCATCTTTTCTGTCTTGTTTCTGATCTGATCTGATCTGATCTTAGAGGAAAGCTTTCATTGTTTCACCCTTGAGCATGATGTGAGTTTTACTATTTTTACAAATGTCTTTACTATTTTGAGGAATTTTCCTTCATATTCCTAGTTTTTTAGTGTTTTTATTATGCAAGGGTGTTGGATTTTGTCAAGTGCCTTTTAAACATCTAGTGAGATGATCATGTGGTTGTTGTCCTTTGTTCTATAAATATGGTATATTACATTGATTGACTTTCTCCCAATGACCTTTCTGGGATAAATCCCAGCTGACTATGATGTATAATCCTTTTAATATGCTTTGGATTGGACTTACTGGTATTTGTTAATGACTTTTGCACCTATATTCATGAGAGCTATTGGTTTGTAGTTTTCTTTTCTTATGATGTCATTGTCTAGCATTGTATCAGTGTAATGATGGTCTCCCAGAGTGAGTTAAGAAATGTTCCCTCGTCTTCAATTTTTTGGAAGAGTTTGAGAAGGATTCCTGTTACCTCCACTTTAGATGTTTGGTAGAATTCATCAGTGAAATCTGGTCCTGGACTTTTCTTTGTTGGGAACTGGTTTAATCTTTTGTTACAGGTCTTGAGATTTTCTATTTCACCTTAAGTCAGTTTAGATCATTTGTGTTTTAGTAGGAATTCATGCATTCCATCTAGGTTATCCAGTTTGTTGACATACAGTTTTTGATAATATTCTCTTATAAACTTTTCTATTTCTATAAGGTCAGTAGTAACGTCTCCGCTTTCATGTCAACTTTAGTTATTTGTGTCTTCTCTTTTTCTTTGTGACACTAGGTAAAATTTAATCAATTTTGTTGATCTTTTCAAGTAACCAACTTTTGGATTGATTCATTCTATTGTTTTTCTATTCTGTATTCACCTCTGTTCTAATCTTTACTCTTTCCTTCCTTTTTCCTGTGGCCTGAAACCACAGATAGTACTGAACTTTATTTATATCTAGCCAAAGTCTCTATAATCAATACTATACTTCACTCCCCTATCCTAAGAAAAATTCACAGCTAAGAAAAGGAGGAATGGGCATAACCTTGTCATATATACCTTTTATCCAAAATCTTTCTGATTTTGAAATTCATCTCTTTTACTTTCTTATCTTAAACTCCTATAAACCAATATTGTTGTTTTAAAAATGTATTATAATAGGCCGGGCGCAGTGGCTCATGCCTGTAATCCCAGCACTTTGGGAGGCCGAGGCAGGCGGATCACCTGAGATCAGGAGTTCGAGCCCAGCTGGCCAACATGGTGAAACTCCATCTCTACTAAAAATACAAAATTATCCAGGTGTGGTGGCGCATGCCTGTAATCCCAGCTACTTGGGCGGCTGAGACAGGAGAATCACTTGAACCTGGGAGGCAGAGGTTGCAGTGAGCTAAGATCGCACCATTGCACTCCAGCCTGGGCAAAAAGAGCAAAAGTCTGTCTCAAAAGAAAAAAGAATTATAATAAGAGATTTTATTATAACAAAGCAATTTACTTTTGCCCTGGAATTTATATGTGTCTGTGTGTTGACTTGGGGCCCTGACCTAAATTCATAGTACCAGGTTGAGAAAAAGTGAAATACAGTAACAGTACAGGCATTTTATTAGCAAGAAGAATTTTATCTATTTAAATGTGATCTCCCCTGCAGGTCTTTAGTCATGTTCCTGCTGTTTTGAAACCAGTGGTTCCAGTTCCTCAGCTCCTAGACTTTAATTCCCAAGTTAGTTTCTCTCCCCCACTAGAATATCTGAATGCAGGTATCAGTCATTTGTTCTGAAGCAATTTTTAACAAGTAAAATCTAAAACCAGAGGTTGTTGCCAATATTTTAAAAGGTAACGTTATGGTTGTTGAGGAGGTAAAGCACTGAATCATACTTTAAAATATTCTGTATATAGTCCCATTCCTGTTGGTTTGCCAAGGAAACAGGCACAGATTGGGTCATTTAAAATATAGCGCATTTTAATTTTTTCCAAATTCGTAGCAACTTTTCCACAGAATCCACTTCACCAGTAGAGAAGAATTCTGAAAGTAACTTGAAAGAAGACTTTCCTACTGTATGTTAACAACAATACACATTGTAGTAGCTTTGAAATACAGGAGGTATTTAATGTTGTGTTGTGGCTAGTTAGAGATCAGGAATAGGTGAAAAGATAACTGCTGGTATGTTCTTTCTCTAGTACAGTTTGCTCTTCATTACCTGTTATATTCCATTCACACCCTTCTGAAGATCAGAGTGGAATTAGCCATTAGCAGTGTTTTAGTACTTCTTTGTGGTTCCAAAATGCCAGTCAGTGACTTGGTGCTTGGCTGGCTGCAAAGAATCACATGTAGGAAAGTTGGTAGAAGTACAGATTTACAGATTTCTAACTTTTCTGCTCCCTTTCTTTCCTTTTATTTATTTATTTATTTATTTATTTATTTATTTTTAATTGGTCTGAGATTGTCCCTGGGAATTAAAGGTCTCCAGAAGATACATGTGGAAATTATTGCCTTAGAGATTTTTGACTACGTGTCCAAGTCAAAAATGTTATCCATCGATGAAAGCTGCCACCACAAATTCTATGATTTTTCCCTCCAACTTTGCAGGTTTGACGCATACGAAACAAAATGTGTGTTGCAGCCTTCGGAGTGATTTCTGCTTTCTTGGCAGTGGTGAGCGGCTTTGGCCTGCTGTTGCACATTGGGGTGCCATTTGTCATCATAGTTGCCAATTCGCCATTTCTTATTCTAGGTGAGTAAAACCGAACGGGAGGCTACACACTGTGTATATGGCAGGGTAGGGGATATAAGGGAAAGAATTGTATTGAGGTGGCTCTACAGTTCACAAATGAGGTGCCAGGAAACAGGGAAATGAAATTGAACTGGATATCTCTAGAGGTGGAAAGATCGAGTATCCTAATGGAAAAACAGACCATGTACGTGAACAGCAGTTCACATGTAAAAACAAAATACGAATCACTAAAAATACAGTCATGTATCACTTAACGTTGAAGGTCTGAGAAATGCTTCCATAGGCAATTTTGTCGTTGTGTAAACTTCCTAGAGTGTACTTACACAAACCTCAATTGTATATCCTACAACGCACCTCGGCTATGCTGGCCTCCTACTCCTAGGCTGCAGTCCTGTACGGCATGTTACTATGCTGAATGCTATAGGTAACTGTCACACGATGGTAAGTATTTGTATGTCTAAATATATCTAAACATAGAAAAGGTACAGTAAAAATATGGTAGAAAATATAAAAAATGGTCCACCTGTACAGGGTACTTATCACGAATGGAGCTTGCAAGAATGAGAGTTGCTCCGGGTAAGTCAGTGAATAAATGTTGAGTGAACATAAGGTATAGGACATTCCTGTACACTACTGCAGACTTTATAAACACTGGACACTTAAGCTATTGCTACATTTATTTAAAATGTAGTTTTCTTTCTTCAATAATAAGTTAACCTTAGCTTACTGCAACTTCATTATTTTATAAACTTTAAAGATTTTTTACACTTTTTGACTTTTGTGATAACACAGCTTAAAACACAAACACATTGGAGAGCTGTACAATAATATTTTCTTTCCTTATATCTTGGTGTAAACAAACTCTGCCAGTCTTATGAAAGTATAGCACATACAATTATGTACACAACATAATACTTAATAAACAATTGTTACTGCTTTATATATTCACTATGCTAAATTTTATGTCATTATTTTAGAGTATACTCTAACTTATGAAAAAAATAGTTAACTGTAAAATAGCTTCATGTATGTTATTCAGGAGATATTTCAGAAGAAGGCATTGTTATCATAGCAGACAACTCCACGTGTCCTGAAGACCTTCCAGTGGGACAGGATGTGGAGATGGAAGACAGTGATAGTGATGATTCTGACCCTATGAAGGCCTAGGCTAATGTGTGTGGGTTTTGGTTTGTTTTTTGTGATGGAGCCTCACTCTGTCACCCGGGCTGAAGTGCAGTGGCTCAATCTCGGCTCCTGGGTTCGAGCAGTTCTCCTACCTCAGCCTCCTGAGTAGCTGGGACTACAGGCACGCACTACTATGCTCATATGTGTTTTTGTATCTTAGTTTTTAATAAAAAGTTTAGAAAGTAAAAAAAAGGTAAAAAAAAAAATTAGAAATTTTTAAAATAGAGGAAAGTGGCTGTATAGATAGAAAGATTATAAGTAAGAAGAAAATATTGTGTATGAAGCGTGTTCCAGATGTTTTTGTGGTTTTTAAGGTGTTATTAAGAAAGTCAAAAAAATTTTAAAAACTTAAGAAGTTGATAAAATAATAAAAGTTACAGTAAGTAAAGGTATTGTATAGTAAGGAAAGAAAGAAATATATTGGGAGAGGGAAGTTGTGGGAGCCGGTAGTATGTCGCAGGGAGAAGAGAGGAGGGGAGCGCGCAGAAGGAGAAGTTCTACGGGCGCGCGGCAGTGGGGGCGCGACGAAGGGAGAAGAGCGAGTTAGTATGAGGTCTGTTTGAACTATAGTGCTATTTATGCTGTGGGACACTGGTATGGATTGGGAGGGCAGACGAGATAAGGATATTTGCCTGGAAGGGAGAGGTAGAAGTAGGAGGTATCCGAGTACGACAACTCACTAGATCTCCCCAGAGGTGTTAGGTTTTCGCAAGATGCTTACTTGCGATAAATATTAAACTATCTTCGTAGTTTCTCGATGTGACTGTAAAATAATTGCTTGGGAAGCTGATATCCAATAGTAGTTGGGATTACAAAGAGAAAGAACGGGAAAGCATACGGATTCCACGCGGTGTCTGTGAGGGAGGAAGTGCTCTGCCTAGAGGATCGGGTTGTGCTGGTGTTGGTTATGTGTTGTTGGATGTGTGGTATCTGAGGCGGAGAAGTTGTTTTTGTCGTGTGGGCGAAAGTGAGAGCAGCAGTGCGGTATCTCTCGGCGCTATTTCAAACTCTTATGTTTATAACGAGAGAAGATTTGTCGGTTTGAAGCATTAAATAATCTACCGGCGTTTTTATTTAAGAAGTATTGGCGGGAAGGTGTGATGGACGTCCTTAATCTAGGACGCTATTGTTTTGATTGGGCCAATTCATGTACGGTATGGCGTATGTATGGTTATGTGTGTTTTTTCGATTAGTTTGTGCTATTATATTAATGGACAGCCAAAATGAAGCGGTGGCTTGGCTTCTTACGTTGAGCAGGGCGGAAGCGGTAGTTACAGATTGCGTTAGAAGTAGTAATCATGCAAAGTATTCGCGCTTTTTAAATGTGAGTTCTTTTGCTTTGTTGTTGCAACTGACGTGAAAATTGTGTGCGTGTTCGCTATAGGTGCGTGGTGGCGATGCTGCCCGAGTGGGCTGAGTGTCGTCTATGTGCATGGAGAAATCCGCGGCGGGCAGTGAGGGAATCTCAGTCTTGTAATTGATGTGTGGATTATAAGAAAAAGAGTGTCTGCGACCTGTGGTTTAATTTGCTATCCCTTGATTAATTGGAAAAGTTCAAATTTTTTTTCTTATACCGTGATGGTCAGCCAGCTAAAAAGAGAACGACGTTTGGGTCAAAGATTTAGCTGAGACCCCATAAGCGCCAAGATACAATGGAGGCCCGAGAAAGATTATAGGAGGGAAAATCCCTATCAGGGCGCTGGTGTTATCGAAGAGCTGTAGTCCTTGAGTGTCATAACGCAATTCATAGTACTCAATGATGTCGGTAGGAGGTGGAGGGAGTGAGAAAGGCAGCGAGCGGGGGCATTGTGCCCGTGGCAGGCCTTGGTGTGTGGGGAATGTGGGATGAAGCCCCTGCGCGAGGGGCGAGCAGGGACGGAAGAAGGGGAGGTGCTCCTGTCCAACCAGAGCGGAAAGAGTGAGGAGAAGAGAAAGGAGAGCGGAGGGGAGGAAGAGAGAAGAGGAAGATGACGGTGAAGGGGCGGGCGTCGAGAGCCGAAGAGGGGGCGGAGGAGGAGGATATACAAGTCTGCCTAGTGATCAGGAGAAAACTAGCAGCGAAAAACGTGTATCGGGTTGTGAGGGGCCTGTGGTTCGTGTTGATAACTATGTGGTTGGCTCGTGCAAATCATTACTGACAGAGGATAGCCAGAGGCTCAACTGTATGAACAATTAAGGTCAGCTTATGTTTCAAGGGCAACAGAATGTTGCTGGACTGTGTCTGTACTATGAGCATGAAAGTATGCTTACAATGAGGAAATATGAGTCTTCTTCATGCAGATCTGTGTGGAATCTAAAGAGACGGACAGTTGCAATGCTGCTGTTGGACTGATTACCGCTCACTAAGGATGTTTCCTGACCTCATCATGGGAAACACTAAGCA